TAGAAATCTTTGTCATTATTGAAAGTATAATCTAATTTCTCTCTCATTATCTTTAATTATTTTAGTCTCTCCTAATCCTATATCGTTAGGATGAATTAAAGTAAAACCTTACTTATCAATTCACTATAACACTATATTTATTATATATCTTAAAATGAAAAAAGATTACTAGATTCTACAAAATGAATTAAGATTAATTATAAATCAAGTCATAACTTCTATTAGTAATATATACATAGATACTTCATCATGCTAATTAAGAATTTTGTGAATACTTCTACAGGTTAGTTATTTAGATATATTATATTCTAAAATTATTTGTGTTAAATAATGATATTATATAATCCACTCATATTAAATAAATAGTCAAATTATTTTGATTATTACTTATATTCACTCATTCTACTAGTCTGCTTGTCAATAGATACTTGCTCATAGTGAAGGAATATTTAAATTATAGTTTGTTATGCAAAATATAGCATTCTACCAATCTGCTATAAGAAAAATCTATTGTCTCATCAAAAGAGTGTTTAAGATATAAGTTATTATGTTGCTTCATAGTATTACATAGAGTTTCATCAGCATGATAGTCACACAAAGATATTAACTTTGCATATATATTATTTTAATAATGAAAATTTTTATATTTCTGAAAAATTAATGTATATTTTTTATATTAGTTTGATAGTGTCTTTGAAGGAGTTTGCATCTTATATGATATGAGAGCAATTAAAATAAATAAGAAGAGCCCTCTCAGCTCTGATCAAATTGAGAAAAATATAATTGTGCTGGAGAAGAAGCTTAGAAAAGATATCACACCCCTTGGTCAGCATCTATATTCAGCTATAAATACTCCATCTATTCAAAAATTGACTTGAAAAGATCCTCTAGCAAGCCAAATTATTAGTGATGACTCTAAACTTGTAGAACAATTGCCAAACAATCTAAAAAAGGCATTTATAGTATATTAATAGTAATAATATATATGGAAATCACTTTACTAGTTTTTTTTAACAACATATGCAACTATAATATTCTATCGATGTTCTAATAGAAACCCGCTTGACTGATGAAGCCCACTCTTATACCAAAGGTCAAAGAAATGTGTGAGAAATTCGTATTAAATTTCATTAGTCATGATTACCAGAATACATCACTTGAAAAACTTATCCATAATAGAACTTGGAAATAATTTGAGGAGAAAATATCGGACATTGCGAAAGAACTTTTTTCCCTTCTCAAAGACATTTGGAATAATCCAATCTTTAGTTCTGAACTCGCAAAATCGTTAAATAAAGGCACCTACCAATTGAAAGTTATTTTATTATCGATTCAGATGATATTAAAAAATCTTCCTTTTAGATTGTCTTCATTTATCAGTACATCAGAACGGCAAAGTATTGCTAGCGCTGATAGAAAGGGTAAAGAACAGATGGGGAGACAACCCGATATTATGTTTGTATTAAAATATTTAGAGGTCTTCTTTGAGCTTCTATACGTAGAATGTTCACGATTATACTGCACTCAGCAGAAAAAGAAGAATGATGAGATAAAGTTATGGCGCGAGACAAATGATGGTGCAAAGTTCTTAAACCAGACAAAGATCAATTTGGAATAGTTGAAGTGCAAGTAGCGGGAAATATGTTACATCTGAACGTTCTTGTCAGGGATAAAGCTAATGTGCATCGATATTACCATTTACAATTTGCTGAAATTCCTGTACAATTATCTGATGCAAACGTTGTAGCTAAATTTATAGAAACCCTTTTACGTAACATATTAATTATAAATGTATCCCTGCTATATCATGCGTCTATCTTCACATCGCAAAGACAAATGGAAGATAGTACTACAGTTTCTACTTCACGAGATGATTACTAGACTTCACTATATGTACTTTTTTCTATCTTGTATTTATATTTATCACAATAAAGATAGCCCTGGTGATTAAATATCATATGCTTTATTATTCGCACATCGTCAAGTTTATCGAAAAATTACAATGATGATGTATAATGGTTTTTGATTGGACGATCGACACATATACACTCCTACCAATCAAAGTATACGCTATCGATTCAGTCGTATTTATTTTTTTCCCAGATAATGATATGATTGGGTGTCAAGTTTCGTCACATGCTGGAAAATTAGCGCCTTGTGTTTGCTCCGCTAAATCATATGCACGATGTTTTGTAGACCCGAAGGGTCATTGCTTTGCAATAGTACATATATTAGGACCCACGAAAAGTTCATGCAATGATGGAAAGGTTTCGGAAACAGAATTTTTTTTACTCTCATCACCTAATTTTTGTAAGATTTTCATCAGATCTGAGAAAACTGTCAAAGTCACTAGAATTACTGTCAATTTACGCCTGCTATTACATCTTCTCCAAGTACAAAAACAATTTATGGAGATTAGCAAGTGTTTCCTTCATAGAGGCAGTATTTATTATATTTAATCTTCGTTATAATGATAAGACGATATACATTCAGCACGGATTCTCTATTTCGATCAAATTCATTGAAAGCAATGGCATCTCTATATTTCAAGGCTATAAACTTCTCATAAAGACAACTTAACACTATCATCTTCGTAATGCACGACTATATGCACGTTGTATATCCCATAAATCTATGAAGAAATCATTAGGTGTTCCATTTGGTACGCCAGTAGGAACATCGTCAAAAAGTAAGTTGGTAGGAATAGCGAGTTGATAGTCCGGCAAATTAGGACCATCGCAAGCAACTTGTCCACATCCGACGCCAGTAAGACTGTTAGCCGGAAAATTCGGAATATTCAAAAGAAACCTTGTTGTGGAGATATGAAGATTTGCAGTCCCAAAGGACTTTGCGATACAAGGTACAGTTGGATTCGGTTGGTCACGTCTGTAAAACAATGCGAGCAATGCAAAGGTGCGATCCTGACGACGGGGGAAGAGCTTGATGGCCAGATACATTTGAATATTGGTGCGTGGAGAAAAATATCCTGTTGCCAGCTCATGCAAACTGTTTAGGCTTTCTGTGCTACCAATTTCTATGACCATAGTTGGGTATGGGTTACCCGTTGCATTGACTGCCCGCCTTTGTGGAGGTTGTCGACGTTGTTGCGGTTGAATACAAGCATCTGGACGATACACATCTCTCGTGTTCACAGTGATATCCAATTCGCCCATAACATCGAGTTCGCAACGGTTCCAGGTATAAATCTCACCAGTTAATACTCCTTGTACCACTGAATGAGGATTTAGAGGTATCTCGTGGGCTATGACTTTCCCATCAATGAGCCGGTGTTTAACAGAAACCTTTGGTTCTCCGTCGCAAAACTCAAGATAAGTTTCGCGTGGTACGTTACTTGCCACAACGATCCCTCGTCGATAAACTTCATCCGTTCCATCTTGTCGCTGAATGGCCATAAGGTGACCCCTTGCTTTATCAAAATCCCATGAGCTCCATAAACGAGACGGATCTGTATTCCTGGTTTGTTTTGACAGATACAAGGAGTAAGAAGATAAGAAAAGTGGGGGTGATAAAACGGCATTGAGACCGTGTTTTTGTTTTTGCCAATTCGTGGTGTCATACAAACCCATTAAAAGATTTCATTATTCCTTAATATTCAAGCATTTCGAATTCGTTGTTCTGCTATTTTTCGTACTGTAAAAGTGAATACCTTACTTAATTCAATAAATCAAATCGAGAGAAAAAATAAACTTCTATCCTGTTCTTTCATTGGTTAGTGACTTGTGTAAATTGAATAATTCGATGTTGACATACAGTCTGGGACTAAAAAAACCGCCCAAATTTTAAAAGCAAAATAAAACAGTTGATAATTCGATAATGACTTCATATATAGTGAATCCTTCAATCAAAAATAATGAGGACTCCATGTTGATCGATTATATTTTTCCATGTGATTTGCGTAACTTTGCTGTGACAAGCTTGTCACTCATAGACAGAAGTTCGTCTGATTGGCTAACGTAAATCAATTACTCGGGTAACTTATTTATATGCTTTAGAAGAAATCAAGTATTACATACTAAATTTTTACATAGGTCTCTTTGTTAAAGTGTCAGAATATTACCTTTAAAAATAATCTCTAATAAGATCTTATTTAAGAGGTATTCACTTAGTAATAACTTTTTGGAATGGATAAAGAAAAAAAACTTGAGGAATCATATGCTATTCAAATTTGCAAGAGAAAATTTACAACTTGGCAAACTGTTACTAGTCTAGTTTTATTCAGGAAGTAAATAATAAGACACTTCCTGATTATATTAAAGTTATCAATTTCTAACAAAATTACTAATTTATCATTTTCACAGGCTATAGAGATAATTATAAATATTCTTTATGAGAGAGAGTGTAATGGATTGTTATCAATTTGAAAATTTGATAAATTTCATATAATTATGAGATTAAAAGATCAATAATTGAAGTCTTTTTTTGATAAATTATATTTATCAACTAATCTGATGAAAAAAAGTTAAAATATAATGAAAAAAGTATCAAAGTAATTAGTATTTTTATGTTATTTTATTTGTGATATTAAAAATAAATTTATTAATAATATAAAAAAAGATTTAGAAATATATTTAAATTTTACTATGTTACTTTTAAATATCAATAATTATAATAATATTCATACTATAAAAATATTAACTATAATTAAAATATCTAATCCAATATATTTATTACTATTTTGCTTAATTTAATTAAGACTCAACTAGTAATTTCAAGACTAGATATTCACAACCTCATATTTAATTACTTAAACTAAAATTAAAAATTATTTTATGTTAGTATATTTACTTGCTTATAATTGATATTAAAAATTTTATTTTATAAATAATAAAATAAAATTCATTTGAAAAAAAAAAGAAGTATAAGAGTAATAAAAAATACTGTACTTATGAATCTGTTTGAAAGTAGTCTTTATATAATAGAAGATTATATTAATACTATTAATATTATTTCATTTATTTTAATAATAAATAGATATATCAAAAATAATAATATTATCATAATTATTACTAATTGACCTGGTCAAATATGCTTGAGAATAGCTATATCACAGTATCTTATTTATAATAGCTCTTCTGGAATTATTAATAAAATTTTATCATTTCTTCTAATAATAGATTCTCTATATATTTTACTAAATAGTTAAGAATTAATATTTTTCTAATACTATCTATTCTTTTCTGAAATATACAAATATATATTTGATACAAAGAAAAAACTTTCTCAAAAACCAAAGTCATAATGTATAAATTTATTATTAGAACTCTCATATAGTATCTAAAGATAACTCCTTGATTATTTATTTAAATTTTAATAGTTATAGTTTTTATTGATAATTGCAACATATGTACTGCAATTAACCACAATTACATCATTAATAACGTTATCAGTTTTAGCTAATCAAATTTTAGATATTATATTATTATATAATTTTAAATAAATAACTTTAATTTTAAATA